GTTTCGCCCTGCTTCTGGTGGGTGTGCCCTGACCTGGGCTCTCCTGGCCACTGTTTAAATCCCGTGCACCACCCTCTTGGCTGCCACCTGCCAAAAGAGCCCGAGTTCCTGGCGCCTGGTGTGCCACTGCAGCAGGGGAGCTGCAGAGGGAGGACAGGAGGAAGGAGAAGATGGGGGACTGGGGTAAGACCACCCCTCACATGGCAAACCTCAGCACCCAGCACAGACCAGGGCGTATGTGGAAAGGACAGTCTCAGGGAGCTGGGATTCTAGTCTTGGTGCTGATGGGGAGAGCTCAGGGGAAGAAGGGACCAGGGGTAGAGATGCCTCCATTGCTATCGGCAAGCCGGGAGCATGGTGGGCACAGGCTGCTGAGGGGCACGGGGAATCAATGGGCTGGGAGAGCTGCTGCCGTAATGTCCCTCTCCTCCCGGGGACTTGGTATCCCATGTCCAGTGGCTGGGAATCAAACCTTTACAAAGCTGACACAATTTTTCAGTGTACCGAGCGAGGGCTGTTGCAGAGCGTCTCGGTGCTGGCCCAGCTTCCCACCACAGCCCTGGATGGGAGACAAGGCTGACCTGCCCCAAGAGGGAACTTTGCAATGCTCCTTGGACCGATCTGACTGTGCTTCATCCCATCCCCAGGACTTGGAGCAGCTGCCGAATGAGGATGCCAACCTGCTGCCCCAGCTGCAGCAGCTGGAGAGCACACTGAGCGGCTGTGCCAAGGAGGCCAGCAAGGACCAGGTCTTCGTGCGCATGGGCTACATGGCCTCTGAGCTCAAGCGCCTGGCCTCTAAGGTGCACAAGAACGAGCAGAGAACTTCATTCCTGCAGGTGAGTGAGGGCTGACCGGGCTCTTCATGGGGATTTCCCCCCTTTTTCTTTCCCCACCAAGCCCCTCCTGTCCACCCTGAAGTAGACACCCACCTGCATGCCAGGGCTTGGTGGGAGGTGGGTGGCCAAGCAGGCTCCTGGGGCTGGCCAGCGGTCCTCACGCTGCCTGGGTTCGTCCCCCAGACGCTGTGTGAGACGCTGCACAGTGAGAACAAGGAGCTGCGAACCAAGCTGGAGCGGGACCTGGAGCAGAGAAACCAGGCGCTGGAGAAGCTCAGGTGAGGGTGGGTGGTGGGGAGGGGGACGGGACGGAGCTGCCCTGGGTGCTTCTTCACGCTGACCCGGCCCTCCCTGGCTGCAGGTGCGAGAACCAGGAGCTCCGGAGGATGGTGACACTGAGCAGCCAGGACAGTGGGAAGAGGGAAGCTGCCGAGCAGCAGCAGGTGAGGAAGCAGCGTCACCCTCGGAGAGGGCTGGGAAGGAGGCGGAGAGCCCACTGACACATCAGCAAATGTGGCCTCATTTTAATCGGGTCCCCAGTATGGCCAACAGGACTTCTCAGGGTCTTGAGGGGATGGGGGAGGCCATGGGAGGGGAACCGGCTCGTGTTTAGCCGGCCTCAGGCACAGCCTCTGCAAAAGCCCTGAGGGGTCCCCCCCGTGCGCGTCCAGCAGAGCGGGGCCGTGGTGGAGAAGGCGCCAGGCAGAGGAGAGCTGGAGGCCAAGGAGAAGAAGGTGAAGATCCTGGAGCACCAGCGCAGGGAGGTGAGGATGGGGCTGGGAGGGAGGCACTGCCAGGAGCAGGGTGGGAGCAGACAGTGGGGGCGCGTGGCTGAGATGGCACAGGGAGACTGGGGCAAGGCTGCAGAGCCGCAGGGAAGCACTGCTGGAGCTGGGATCTCTATCCAGCTGGTCCCTGAGGTGGTTTCGTGACGGGAGGCTGCTGGGGGCCGCCATGGCTGGCTTGGGGCAGGGGTTGGGCTCCTGTTCAGCTCTCCCTCTCTCCCTGCAGCTGCTGGAGGTGAATAAGCAATGGGATCAGCACTTCCGAGCCACAAAGCAGAAGTATGAGCAGAAGGTAAGGTTGGGTGCTCAGGGGGCACGTCTCTGCTCGCTGCCAGCTGGGAGACTTGGAGGAGACTGGCTGTGGGGGAAGGTTTTCGGGCTGCCTGTGCCACCTCCTTCCCTCCCGCTGTGGGTCCCTCCGGGCAGGCCAACGTCCCCGCTCCCTCCCGGTAGGTCACAGACTTGCACCAGGAGCTGGCTGAAGCCCGCAGGGCACTGAGCGAGCTGGAGTCGGAGCGGGAGCAAAAGCAACGGGATTTCGACCGCAAGCTGCTCCTGGCCAAGTCCCGGATTGAAACAGAGGAGGTGAGTCCCTTGGGAAGGGCAGCAAGGGAGCTACTGGCCCCATTGCCCTGCCCGGGCTGATCTCCATCCCCTGGGTCCCGCAGGCGGAGAAGGAGAGGCTGGCCATGGAGCTGAGAGACCTGCAGCAGAGGATGCGGTTCCTGCAGGAGCAGCTGGCTCCGGTCACCAGGCAGCGGGAGTACCAGGAGAAGGAGATCCAGAGACTGAACAAGGTGGGGGCCAGGGCACAACCCCTCCTCCTGCCCAGCTCCTTGTCCAGGCGGGAGCTTGTGTCAGACGATGCCCACCACATCTCCTTAGGCTCCCAGGAAAGGGGGATGGGGGGGTCTGTAGTCCCTCTTGCTCTTGCCCAGTTATATCTGCTTCCCACGCTGGGCATGTGCCCGTGGCCCTCTGGAGATGTCGTGGGCACAGCACCTTGCTCTGACACACACCCCCCACACACTCTTCCTCTTCCTCTCCAGGCACTAGAGGAGGCCCTGAACGTCCAGGCCTCCCCGCCACCCATCTTTGCCAGCACCATGGAGCCGGCAGGGAAGGTGCCACAGCAGGAGCTGCTGACCCAGAACGAGCTTCTCAAGCAGCAGGTAGGGCAGGACATGGAGCTGCTGGAGGCAGGGAGGGAGCTATGTGCCCTGCACCTCCCTGGCAAAGAGCCTGCTGCGGCTGGGAGCAGCCCAGCAGTCCTAGCGGGTATCTGTGCCACGCTGGTGGGGAGGCGGGGACCGAACTCAGCATGCTCCACGCCTTCAGCTGGAGGGACCACAGCCATGGGCCACCATGCCAACCCACGTGCCTGGGGCTTGGCGTAGCTGGTGTGGTCAGGGATGGCAACGCAGTGATGGGAGGTGCTTGGGGGAGCTGTCCACCCTTGGCCAGGTACACCCACACCCCTCCCTCCTGCCAGGTGAAAATTTTCGAGGAGGACTTCCAGCGGGAGCGGAGTGACAGGGAGAGGATGAATGAGGAGAAGGAAGAGCTGAAGCAGCAGCTGGAGAAGCTGCAGAAGCAGCTGGTCCTCTCCAGCAACCAGGTGAGCAGCGCCGGGTGTCACCAGCAGGACCCTGGGAGCCCCATGTCCCCTCCATGTGTGTCAGAGGTGTGCTCATCCCCAGCATCACAGCCCCCATACCCATCATGGAGCAGGGGCTGAGCGGAGACAGAAGGGCTGGAGCGGTGGTTTTGCTGCTGCTTGTCCCTGCCAGAGCATCTCCTTTCACTCGTCTCTTCCTCTTGCCCCTCTCCTGGGGGTCTGACGGTGCGGGGGGATCGGTGCAGGCATTCCCACAG